TCTGGATTCGATGTGATCCAGCCTGGAAGAAATGACTTCTTGGAATTGGCTGCCCAGGACCTAGTGTGTGACAGAAAGCAGTAGGATCAAAAGTCACTCAATAACATAGACAGAAAAAGTGATAACAGCAGCTCGAAGGACAAAAAGCCACAGACCCACATATGAGGGTCAGTCAGAAAGTACTGCTACAAAATCAGAGACACCTTCATTTAACAAAACTTTCAAAATGAAGGCTTGGTAGGATAGTGGGTTATATGCTTGACTGTTAAATGCAAGGGTGGTAGTTCAAATCATCCAGTTGCTCCACTGGACAAAGATGAGACTGTCTGCTCCCATAAAGTTCTACAAGTCAACAACCCACAACCAACCAATGTGTAGACCCTCTAGGTCTACACATTTCTAAAGGCAGTTTTTTCATCTTTATAACCCTCCCCCCAAAGAATTCTGTTTTCTTTGATTTGTTATTGTTGTTGTTAAGTGCCGTCAAGTCAGTTCTGACTCATAGCAACCCTGTATAGGGTCTCCAAGGAGAAGTTTGAACCACCAACCTTGCAGCTAGCAGTCCAATGCTTATCCTACAGCACCACCATGCCAAACAACAGTTTGAGCACCCTTGAGAAAGTCAAACTGTGTTCCCTTGAAATGTTCTTTGAATTTGGAGAACAAAAAGAAGTCTATAGTGACGGGGTCACTTCCGGGCTATAGTTTGGATGGGATAAGGTTTCACAAGGACTTTCTTGTAGGAAAACCTTGATAACCCTTGAAGCACTAGCAGGTATATTGTCACGGTGGAAACCAGATACCTTGGCACAAGTTTCCTGGATTTTTTTTCAATATGCAGTTTTCACTATTCTTAAAACTCCTTCCTAAGAAGCCCCTGTGATTTTCCTGTGTCCTTCAAGAACATTTGTTAAGATTTCCCCCTTTGAGATCCCCAAAAAACTGTCGCCATAACCTTATGAACTGACCTTTCTCTTGAACTGAACTGGCTCCAGCACATCCCATCAGAAGCTACTGATTTGATTGAATCTTTTTTGTTTGTTTGTTTGTTTTAAAGGCACCTTAATGAGACCTGCCGCTTTTGTTAAGTGCCGCCAAGTCAGTTCTGACTCACAGCAACCCTGTATAGGGTTTCCTAGGAGTGACTGGTGAGTTTGAACAGCTGACCTGGTGGTTCAAACCAACCTTATTGTTGAGTGTTTATCCTTCATGGCCATACCAGGAGTCCGTAATGAAACTTGTTGTTGTTAAGTGCCATTGAGTCAGTTCTGACTCATAGCAACCCTGTATAGGGTCTCCAAGGAGCAGCTGGTGAGTTTGAACTGCTGACCTTGTGGTTTACATTCCATTGCTTATCCTACAGAACCACTGAGTTCCCTGATAGCATCGAACATATTTCTGAAATGTCACAGATGCTTCATGATAAATATTAATATTCACAGGACAGCTGGTGTCATCTGACAGTGTTTCATTGCTCCTGATAAGGTTCTCAGTGGCTAATTATTCAGAAGTACCAGGCACAGTTCTGAAAGTTTTAACTACATCATCTCTAAATGTGTGAGGGTGGCTGCATGAACTATTTAAAAAATCTTCTTGTATTTAATGGTCATGCTGTCCTGGGAGGTGGGTTCTATTAGTATCCTCATTGATTCCATTTTGTTGTTGTTGTTGTTAAAGGCTATGGAGTTGGTTTTGACTTACAGTGATCCTGTACAGTATTTCCAAGATGTTAAATCTTTTGCGGGACCAAAAAGCCTCATCTTTCTCCAGAGGAGTAGCAGGTGGGCTTGAACTGCCAACCTCATAGTTTCCAGTCCATTGTTGACCCTATGGAGCCACTGTGCTCCTCAATTTTAGAAGTGACTTGTCCAACAACACAGAAAATAACAGATAACGTTGCTATCATGACACCATCCAGTAGGTTCTAATGCATAGCCACCCCGTGTAGGTTTTCCCAGGCTGTAAATCTTTGTGGGAACAGAAAGCCTCACCTTTCTCCCTCAGAGTGACTGGCAGGCTCAAACCATTGACCTTGTGGTTCGTAGCCCAGTGCTTATCCTCTAGAGCTAATGGTTACATGAAATTTACAGTGTGCACACAAAAATGTACACAGGTATGTTTATAGTGTGTACACAAAAACGTACACAGGCATGTTCATAATAGCATTACTCATCACAGTCAGTGCTGGTAGAGAGAAATAAAGTATGGTGTGGCACTGCGGCCTAATACACTGGATTGCAATGTCGGTTTGAACCGTAAGGTTGGCGGTTCAAGCTCATCCGCCATTCCTCGGAAACCCTATACAGGGTCACTATGAGTGAGAACCTATTCAATGGCACTTAGCAACAACAATAATCACAGAGATGACAATGACCAGACTTCGTCTCTCATCCTTGGTACATATTATCAGGAAGGACCAATCCCTGAAGGACACTGTGCTTAGTAAAGTGAAGGGTCAACGGAAAAGTGGGAAGACCCAAAGAGATGGACTGACACAGTAGCAGCAGCAACAGGCTCAAACACGACAACGGTTGTGAGGATACCGCAGGCCCAGGTGGGGTTTCATTCTGTTGTGCGTGGGAACTGGCTCTACGGCTCCTCATAATAATGACAACATAGCCATACCAGGCGAGTTCTTCACTCACTCCTGAATTCCTGCATTTTTCACTCATTCACATGACTGCATTTCTTCATTTGTTAATCAGGCTTTGTTCACCTGCCAGAGACATTGGGTATACAGCATATATTGTGGCCACTACAGTAAAAAGCTTATGAATAAAGGAGATGTTCAAAGTCAAGGACAGAGAAGGAAAAGAGAAAACTTTCTGGTCAGTACGACAAAATAAACTAAAAATGAACCCGCTGCCATCGACTTCATTGCAACTCACTGCGACCCTGCATAGGATATCTGGACTATAAATCTTGATGGGAGCACACAGCCTCATCACAGCAGAACCAGTGTGTCAAATGGGAGAGACTGCATCAGTATCACTTAGGGCGTGTGGGGAAGAGGGCACTGTGGATCACACCCCTGATACCCTCAGAGGAAATGACACCAAATGATCCAGGATCCCTGGTGGGGGCAGGGCTGGCCGCTGGCAAGCACAACATCGAGACAGCTGTGTCACTAGGGTTGGTGACCTGTTACCCAGTGTAGTTAGTCTTCAACACCATACCCACGGTGAGGCTGGCACCACAGGTGACCTCACTGGGTCATGTCAACCTTAGTGACGCCACAGAGAAGCTTATCAATCATTTCAGTCAATATTTGCTGAATGAGTGAAACAAGGGACGGATGAGACTTTTCCAGAAGTACCAGATTGTATCGAGGGAATGAGAAAGGTGAGCTTTCCACATACACCACACGTTTGAAGGCCGTGGTTCAAAAGAAAAGATAAGGTGCAAATACCACAAATATGTTTCTGTAAGATCCTGTTTCCTCGCAGAAAGGAACTGGGAAATAGTTTGAGGTTCGCATACAAGTTAAAATACTCAGTTCTCCTAAACCATCCTAGACACCTCTATCTTCCCTCTGCCTATCTCTCCTCCCTTGTTCCCCTCCTTTCTCCTCCCATGCACCCAACCATCCACCCATGTGTCCTTCCTCCCTCCCTATCCTCTTTTCTTCATTTTTTCCTTCTCCCATCCTGCCCTTTACCTCCATCCCTGCTTTCATTCCTCCTACCTCAGGCCAACCAACAGTGCTACTGACGCACACTCAGCAGTTTCCTACTTCCTTCCCTTCCTACCTCCCTCCTTCACATTTTGTTTAGGCCTCAGGCCAACCAAGAACCCAGTGGCATGCATTCACACACATACAGATACTTCTAAGTTCACAGCACTTGTTTTTAAAAAGTTGCTTTAGTAAAACTCAGAGAAGGACATATTTTGGGACAATAATTGCCCAGGAAATAGAAAGGACGTCCAAACAGAAATTCTTATACTTTGCTGCTCTAGTTACATTCAGAACAAAACAAGCCAACCAGTTGGACGCTTGGTTTTAAAAAGAAACAATTTACTTGGAGTCAACTCAGTAAAATAATGCAGAGACGCACTCCTCTGGTTGAAGGAGTGTCCTGGACCCAGAGCCCACCCATGTGGTCCCCCAAACAATCCAACAGACATTACTCAATGCTGAGTAAGACTTTGAGGAACCCCGGTTTGTCTATCCTAAAAGAAATGGCATGACAGGCATATGTAGCCACAGTTATGAAAAGAGAAATTGTTAAACCCTTGACTCCAATTGTTGATTCTTAAGCAGAGAGAGACAAGTTGCATCCTGACTCAAGTGCATGTAGATTGCAAAATACCAGGCATGGTCTTATGGAAAAACACTAGCAGGATGTGAGACATGGAGCCCTTACAGTACAAATAAAAGAGAAGTTATTTGTCTACCGGGAACAAGAGAGAATGGGAAGTTTAGGGAAGCTTGAAACCAAGTTCTCTGTAACACCCACAGGTACGGTTTTCTATGCAAATCTAGGAAGTTTGTGCTGACCATCTCATTGTGAAGATATTTAGGAGTCCTAGTATTGTTGGTGGCATCATTGATGGCGTCAGGTGTGGCAGCGGCAGTGAGGTTGGCCCAAGATTGGACATTGTTTCGTTCTGTTGTGCATGGGGTCGCTATGAGTCGGTTCCGACTCGATGGCACCTGATGACAACAACAACAACAAAGTGTTGTTCAGTGCCGTTGAATTGGTTCTCACTCACAGCAACCCCATACAGGGTTTCTAAGAGAGACTGGTGGGCACCACACCAGGACAAGCTCTCTGGTGATGAACAGACACACTAGGAAGTCATTAGCTTGAACAGGAGAGGGATTTACAAGGAGGGGAAGGCGGTATTGTGTTGAGGTCAGCAGTGGGTATACAGTTTGAACAATCCTGACCAGGCCCTGTGTGAAGCCATGCTGCCCTCTTGTTTGGCAGACCAAGGATAAGCAAGCCGCATCTTGTGTGGTGCATACCCTATAACCTTGTGGGGAAAAGCCAACTCACCTGCCATGCTGCAGACATTCACCAGCCTCCCCTTGGATCTCCGAAGAAAAGGCAGTAAGGTCTTAGTGACTTCCACAGCTCCCAAGAAATTCACAGCCATGCACTGCCTGTAGTCGCTCATGGGAATAAGCTCCCCGTCAGCAGGGAAGCCAAGGATGCCAGCATTGTTGATCACAGCCCACAGTCCTGAGGACACAAAGGAAAGACATTGAGATGGCCGAGGCTGGAAAGCATAAGGCTTTTTTTTTTTTTTTTTTCCCCTAATTGTGTTTTTGGTGAAAGTTTACACGGTCAATTAGGTTTCCATTTAAAGGTGAGAATGTCGGCTTCCATAAAGATTTACAGTCTCAGAAACCCTGTATAGGGTCGCTTATGAGTTGGAATTGACTCGATGGCAGTAGGTTTGGATGCTTTGGTTTTTATGCATATAGTTTAGTGACACTGGTTACATTTTCCGTATTGTATCCAGATTCTCATTTTTCCCACTCTGGTTCTTCTGTTTCCATTCATGTAGCTTCCCTACTTGCTCCCCCTCCCAACCTTCTCATCTTTGCTTTAGGACATATATAAATTGTTGGGTCTCATATAGATTATTGTTTAAAGCAACAGAGGACTCAAAGGTGATGTTGTATTTTAAGAGCCAACCTGAAAAATGACCTTTAGGAGCTGGTTCAGTTCACAGTTTAAAGGGGGGCCCAGGGCAATAGCCATGGGGGTTCCTCTAGTCTTGACCAATCCAGTAATTCTGATCTTTTGTCTTTTTGTCTACATTTTTCTCTTGGTCTATCAGAGACCATCTGCTATGTCTCTGATCAGAACGAGAACATAAGGATTTTAAGCACTCAGCCCGGGAATTACAGCAGCATCTTAAGGATTTAGAACCACAGGAAGATCATGGAAACTCTCAAACCCCTAAGGCTACCTGTGTCTGTGGACTCAGCTATACCAGGTTCATGGACATGGCACCAGACTGGGCACCTTTCTGTTCTGTCATATACAGAGTCACCACAACTCAGCGCCAACTAGACAACAACAAACACCACTTTAGTGGAGAGTAAAGTTTTGAAATATTAAGCAATTTCTTTTCCAAATATGGTTTCTTTTACTTCTTGGTCCTTTCCTATACCCAGGCAGCAGAAGGAAGGCCTGGTAATGTGGTTTCAAAAGGTCGCAGGAATGAAAGTAAATGCAGATAGGTCTCTTGTGATTCAACAGTGAATAACTGTTATCAAGACTGATCATGAGGGTTGGAAATGTAAAGGTAGATGTTTTGTAGCAAGGAGGGGAGTGATTAACCTTGCAGTCTAGGAATGGAAGTCCCTGGGACCATCAAGGGAGAGGAGCGGAGAGTGGGACCCTACCAGAGAAGCAGTGATGACTTAGATGGAGGCAGAGGCGATGACATGGAGAGGTGGAGCTGTTGGGGACTTTAGACACAGAGAGGGAGAGGGGCTGTGTGCTGACCACTGGGGCTTGTAGGATATACCCTTTGGTTGGTTGATGATGCATGGAGGGGACTGTAACCATGGCAACGAAGCAATTTATGATAGGATGAATGTAAAACTAATGTCCTCCCATGTAAACAATCACATAATTCACAATAAAACATTAAAAAAAAAGGTCACCGGAATTGACATATTTACTGATGAAAAGCAGCCTTCAGTATGGATTATACCTCAATATAAACAAAACAACAGTCCTCACCATTGGACCAGTAAATCACATCATGATAAACTGAGAAAAAACTGAAGTTGCCAAACACTTCATTTTGCTCAGATCAACCATCAACACTCAAGGAAGCAGCAGTCAAGAAACCAAAAGATGTATTGTGTTAGGCAAATCTGCTGCACAAGACCTCTTTAAAGTGTTCAAGAGCAAAGATGTCAGTTTTAGAACTAAAGTGTGTCTGATCCGAGCCTGGTATTTTCAATAGCTTCACATGCATGCAAATGTTGGACAATGAATGAGGAAGACCATAGAAGAATTGATTCATTTGAATTATGGTATTGAATTTTGAAAGTACTATGGATTACCAGGAGGATGAACAAATCTGGTTGGAAGAAGTACAGCCAGAATACTCCTTAGAAGCCAAGATGACGAGACTTTGTCTCTCATAGTTCAGACATGTTATCAGGAAGGACTGGTCCCTGGAGAAGGACTGCATGTTTGGTAAAGTGGAGGGTCAGCGAAAAAGAGGAAGACCCCCCAACAAAGTGGACTGATATAGTAGCAACAACAATAGAGTCAATAGGGTCAAACATAAGAATCGTGACGATAGGGTAGGACCAGGCAGTGTTTCGTATGAGTCAGAATTGACTTAACAGCACCTAACAACAATTCATACACACATGCACACTCAGAAGTGCATGTACAACTGATGAGCTGTGAACATCACCTACTTATTTTATTATACATTTCTTGAGTATCTACTATGTGCCAGAGACTGAACTTAATATTGTTGTTATTGTTAGGTGCCATCGAGTCGGTACTGACTCACAGCGACCTTATACACAGCAGACGGGAACATTGCCCGGTCCTGGGCCAACCTCACTATTGTTGCCATGCTTGCGCCCTTGATGCTGCCACTTGGTCAATCCATTTCACTGGAGGTCTTTCTCTTTTTCTCTGACCCTCCACCTTACCAAACATGATATCCCTCTCCAGTGACTGGTCCCTCCTGACAATATGTCTGAAGTATGAGAGACAAAGTCTGGCCTCCAAGGAGCACTCTGGCTGCACTTCTTACAAAACAGATCTGTTGGTTCTTTTGGCAGCCCATGGCACTTTCAGTACTCTCCTTCAACACAATAACTCAAAAGCATCAATTCTTCTGTGGTCGTCCTTATTCACTCTCCAGCTTTCGCATGCATATGAGACTACTGAAAATACTATGGCTTGGATTAGGCGCACCTTAGCCTGTAAGCAGACATCTTTGCTCTTCAACACTTTAAAAAGGTCTTGTGCAGCAGATCTGCCTAACGCAATACATCGTTTGATTTCTTGACTGCTGCTTCCATGAGTGTTGATAGTTGATCCAAGAAGAATGAAGTCCTTGACAACTTCAATCTTTTCTCTGTTGATAAGAATGTTGTTTATTGGTCCAGTGGTGAGGAGTCTTGTTTTCTTTACAGTGAGATGCAGTCCTTACTGAAGGCTGTGCTCTTTGGTCTTCATCAGTAAATGTTTTAATATTGAGTGAATGGAAAATAGGACCAACACTAGTGCTCACCTAAGTACAAGACCCTCTGCTCAGTGATACAGGCACACCTCCTTTTATTGCTCTCTGCAGATACTGCGTTGTTTACAAATTGAAGTTTTATGCTGATGCTCTGTGGAGCATGTCTACTGGCACCATGTGTCCTAATGCACATGTTCACATCTTATCTCTATATTCCATCTTGGCAATCTCAGAATATTCCAGACTTTCCCACATCAGGTAGGAAAGTCTAGTGTCAACATCACTTTTTTTTATTATTGTGAATTATGTGATAGTTTACATGGGAGAACATTAGTTTTACATTCATTCTATCGTAAATTGTTTCATTACCATGGTTACAATACCTTCCATTCATCATCAACCAACCAAAGGGTATACCCTGCAAGCCTGACCCCTACACTACTCTCCCCACCCCCCAGTCTTCAGCACACAGTCCCTCTCCCTCTCTGGATCCAAAGTCCCCAGCTGCTCCATCATCCGCGTCATCATCTCTGCCTCCATTTCAGGTATCACTGCTTCTCTGGGTAGGGTCCCGCTCTTGGC